TATATTTTAATTTTCCTATTAATTCAAAATGTTCAGCACACTAACAGTAAAATTAAAATTAAAACATTTCAGCTCCAACCCAAGAAATTCCCTGAGATCAGACCTCACCCATCAAGTCAAGGAGTAATGAATTCCAAGCTCAAAAGCAGTGTCAAAAATCCCACAAAAATCAGTTGTCTTCCTTTACTTTATGAATAAAAGTACACCAAAATAAATTTTAACACTCATATGAGTTCAATTTCTTTATTAACCTGATCCATGGTTTTGAGAGATTCTGTATGAATGGGCACCATATAACGAACATTATTTTATTTTTTAAGAATGTTGTTTCTCTGTGTGTGAAGATATTGTGTCACTTACATATGGTCCCTTTTCAGGGGGAATTATCTTCTTTTCTCAAGGTTTGTATGTGTAATGTATAGCTCAAAACATTTATCCCTTCAGGATGGCCAAGAAAGGCCAAAAGGTTACACCGCCCTGAACTGGAAGATTAATTCTGATCCAATAAACATCGGCACTGCAGGTCATGACTAAGACAAGAAAACCTCTCTTGATTATAAGGTATGAAACGGGGAAATTAAAAAATATCTAAAAACCATAAAGCTGTGTTGGTAAAGCAGGGATCACACACACACACACACACACACACACACACACACACACACACACACACATGTTCTTAGGGAAGGAAGGCCAGCCTGTCTCTCATATCTCAGAGCTGATCTCATACAGCTCTAACCATCTCATGCTCTAAGCTCAGATTCTCAGCTCACTCCAGTCAATATCAGCCTATTCAGGGGCTGGATCCCTGTGTGTCTCACTCCTGAATCTAGTCCTCTAAAAAATCATATAAAACCTAAACAATGTCAACATTTATTATAGAAAATCCTAAACAACACTGTGCAAAACACCACTGCAGACCTCAGCAGGGAAGCCAGTGCTGATCCTATCTTCCTGTGCATCATTCAACCCGGACCATCTTGCTTAGAGATGAAAGCCAATACCTAACAAACAGGTAACCGGGACATGTCATTGTAATTGGTTATTATACTTAACTGTGTATGACTCTAAGACATGACCATTGGCTGCAGGGCAAACACTTGCTTTTGAGATTTCTCTGTGATGTCCTAGCAGTTTAGGAGAGTCACAGTGAGTTAAAATGAATTCATCAGACTCTTCCAACAGATGATTCCACTGTATGATCAGAAGTCCCAGAGGTTAATTAGATGCTGTACTGAATCTCTGCCTAGTCAAATATGGCTCTGTATCAAGTCTCACTAAGTACCCTATAAATTTGTTATGTATTTGTATTGCTGTAACTGTTTCATGGTTAATTGTTGTCTGTATTATTTAAAATGGAAAGAAAGAAACCAAAAGAGATCTTACCAGATAACACAGGATGTAAGAGGTAAAATGAAGACTTTGGTTCAATACAGACACTGAAGACTTCCCAGAGCCTCAGGCCCTCCAAAAACACAGCATTAAATCCTCTTTTCCTGGCCCTTATCCCGGCTTAGCTCATAAGATGTCAATGTATTGACAGTGTATTTACCCCAACCAGGAAACATTCTTAAATAATAGAGCCAGTCAAAGCAGAGGTGCACAGTTTCAAATCCTGTTAGGTCACTGAACACTCACCTCCTCCATCCCTTCAAGGGCTGTGTCTACTCTGCCTTCCTCCAAGTCAAGCAGCCTTAGGGGGAAGATGTCACCTGTACTGATTCTCCTGACCTTTATTCTGCCACGTGGAGCTGGTGCACATGAATGAACACCCCTGTCCCAGAGGTGCCATCCCACCATACCTCTGTGGACTCTCTGCCCAGCTCTAGTCAGGAATGTCCTGCATTGATGCAAGAGCTTTCTGAACCCCAGGTCCCATACCAACCCCAGACCTGTGAGTCTGTCACTGTCTAGAACCTGAACAATGCCTGAAGAAGGGGGGATTTCCCAGAAGACTTGGTGGGCACTAGATTCTCCAAACTTCTTTTTGTCGCCTGGGGAATAAATCTTGCTGAGACAGAGATGTTACAAACAATGAAATCCTACAAAAAGTACCTCTTTAACTTTATTTGATGACAGGATAAGGGGATCTTTACTGACCAGCCTGCACTGGGGTAAGTCCCCCAGCTCTAGAAGAGTAGCATCATTTAGTATCCTCCACCCTTATCCTGCTGAAGAAAGAAACCCAGGGTCACAAGATGCCTGCATTGCACCCTCTGCTAGCTCTGTTTTCTAGTGTTGGTTTGCCCCTCCACTTCTTTCTGCAGGTCCCCAGATAGTCCCATCTTTGCCAGCACACTACTCCAATGTCCCCAAGGCTCTGTATCCCAGGCCTCCAGCTAACAAGAAGTCATTCATCCATGCTGCAAAATCATTTTTACTGAGGATACAAGATATGTTGGGCACCAAAATAGGAGAATTTTAAAAGAGCCCCCTCCATAGGAGTTGGGAATAAAAGGTGAGAAAATGGCACCAATCAAGACATTAGTGTTGTTGGGGAGACTAACAAGGAAATGACCAATGTAAGCCACCCCAGATTCTATTGACTCTACTGTCATCATGAGGTTAGAGCTTGTCCCTCCATTTAGCGGTAAAGCCAGGGTTAGGGGCAAGTGCTACCCACCCATTCTCAGAGCAGGGCTGCAGCTTAAATTTCCACAAAGATTATTCTGTGTGCAAGGAATTCTGTCCACAACAGGCTTGGGGAACTGCAGATCCCATCGCATGTACCCCTCCCTAGATCTTCCCTCCTGACCTCATCTGCTGCTCCCAGACACCCCATATTCTAACCTTTTCTTTCAGAGGAGATCATCAGGGACCATGAGGTCAAGCCCCACTCCCAGCCCTACATGACATTTATTGAGTTGTGGATATCAATGGGAATGAGAGTCACTGTGGAGGTTTCCTGGTGCAAGACAACTTCATGCTGACAGCTGCTCACTGCCTGGGAAGGTGAGGAGAAGCATCAGGCCCACGTTTTCTGAGACCCTAATTGGAGAGTTTGTCCTCTAATTGTGGATGCTCCTGTGAGAGCTCTCTAGAAGGCAGGAGGACTGTGAAAATGGAAGTCTGAAAACAGGGAAATTTTGAGGTCAAAGGTTGAGAGTGGTCAGAGCCAGTAACACACTTGAGTTGAAAGCAATTGCCTAGACTAAAGCAGTGGTTGCCTAAAAGCAAGAAAGAGCCTCCTGGAGTCTAAGGTCCTTGTCAAGTAAAAATTATTAGGTCAAACCCTGAAACCCTTCTGTCTCTCAAGTCCCCTCAGTTAGATCCCCACTCTGCCTTTTACACCTCCTGAACAGTGTCCTCTCTCACTCCACATCTCTCATCTCCACTCTACTCTGTACAGCTCAGTGAAAGTCACTCTGGAAGGCCATGATGTCACAGCACAGAAGGAGACTCAATAGATCATCCCTGCGGTAAAATCCATTCCACACCTGGCCTATATAATTGAGAAGGTGCCAATGACATCATGATCTGAAAGGGGAGACCTTCCACAAGCTCTCTCTCTCTCTCTCTCTCTCTCTCTCTCTCTCTCTCTCTCTCTCTCACACACACACACACACACACACACACACACACACACACACACACCATAGCTCTCCCACACGGGCATTCCCACACCCACACCCCACTGTATCCTACCTTCACCCCCGTTTCCTGTGCTCTGCTTGCTGCAGGGCTTCTCCCACCCCTCCTGCTCTCTTCCTGATTTTCCTCCCTGCCATCCTCGTTTTCAGAGTGTCCCAGGCCAGCAGGCTCCTGGCTGAGCTGCTCTTTCCTGTCTCTTCCCCATCAGCTAGAGAGGAAGGCCAAGAGGACTAAAGCTGTGAGGACCCTCAAGCTGCCCAGGGTCAATGCTCAGGTGAAGCCAGGGCATGTGTGTCGCCTCAGTGGCTGTGGGTAACATCTCCCAAGCCCATAACAGGAACTGCCATCCTCCAAGAGGCTGAAATGATCATCCATTTGTGTGGGAGACCTGAAGAATATATGGGTGTCTTCCGTGGTGAGATTCAAGTATTTAACAGACAGAATGCAGGGAGAGAGGAACCTTGGAGAGGCCTAGTTATGATGATAGCCAAACCCTTAAGCCTCAGCTCACAGCAGTGACATCCCAAAATCTACCCTGGAGTTTCTCCATGGGTTAGCAAGAGTGAAAATTGGAAACATGTGCCATCCCAAAGCAGCATAAATTATTCCAGAGCATCCCTGAGTACTACATGGGAAGCCTGGGACTGAGCTAGAAGGAAAAGTCGGGCCTCCATGGAGCTCTGATACTGAGGGAATTTGAAAACCTGTCCCTGCTGTGACCTAACAGTTAATCTTCCCATGAGGAGATAGGGTGAAGCAGAGCCAGGAGAAGCAGGCTCAGTTCTCCCTTTCCCTGTCCACAGGGTGACTCTGGGGACCCCCTCGTGCATGACAACAGAGCTTACAGAGTTGTGTCCTATGGAAAATCCAAGAGCATCTCTCCAGGAATCTTCACTAAAGTCGTGTCTTTCCTGCAATGGATAAAAGGAAGCATGAAGCCCATCTAACAGGTGGTAAAAGCCAGCTGTGTCTGACCAGCTTATCCGGACACAGGCAAGAATCACATGGAGTGGACAGCAAAGGCTGAAATTTCATAAGAAATTGATCTCCACAGTGAATATAACTGAATTTCTCTATTGTTGGAGCTACTCTCATGTGAACATCACTGGTCCAGGCAGCCCTCACATGTCAGTCTGGGCTTTGCTTCCTTCTTCTTCCCCAGCCACTCCTTCTACTGGAGCTTCAGGCTAGACAATTCCCACATATTTATCACCCACACATGGTGCAGGTGAGCAGGTTGTTTGTGTTTGCTTGGTTTTTTTTTTTTTTTGTTTGTTTGTTTTTTGAGATAGGATCTCACTATGTAGTCAGGCTGACCTGGACTTTTACTATGTAGTCCAATCTGATCTTAAATTCACAGAGATCTGCCTGCATCTGCTTGGGATTAAATGTGTGTGAAACATTATCCACCCATACACAACTCTTCAAGGTTGACTTTCTCACAAAACAAGCAGGAGTCTACAGCACTACTGAGGTGTCGTACACTCAGTTACTCCCTTTCATACTGAGTTCTATAGAAATGAATCTCCCCAGGACTAAGAAATCCCTACCATGTCTAAGCCGCCTTTATCAAGTCCCAACTTTTTGCAGCGAATCAAACAAAGCATTGGGGTGAATGGAAATTATAATGTGGAAACTTAGAAGGCCTTGAGATTTTTCCTGTTTCCAGGACTTCACCCTCTCCAACAGGATATGGCACAAGCTCCTTTACCTGTGCAATCTGGAAGGTTGAGACATCCCTCTGATGGTCCCAGGCTCACCTAGGTCCCATTTCCCATCTTAGAGTTCAGTCAACTTCTGTACCCCTTGCTGGGTACAGCGCCACTGTTGAATTATACTTTTAAATTTCCTGCACTCTTGGGTGTTAATTTTGTTTCATTCTGTGTATGTAGCTACTCTGTGTTTATTGAGATATTCTGACACATATCACTCACCAGTGTGCTTTTAGAAGGATCTTTTTATTTTTCTGTTCTGATTTTCATTTTCTGAAGGTTATTTGGGGTGTGTTCTGGAGGGTTTTTTTTTTTTTTGGTTTGAGTTATGGGTTTTGAGAGAAAAAGAGAGGGAGAGAGAATGTGAAGGTTAGTGTGTAGGGAGATGGGGAGGAATTGACAGAGGGGAAAGAATATGATCACAATGGATGAATAAATTAAGGAAATTAGCAATGATATAATAAAATTTTACAATTAAAATATAAATGTATTTAAATTAACAAGACTAATAACAGAAAACACATTAAGACAGCTCTTCCTCTTTTCCTCCACCAAGTCATGGGAGTGAAATTATGCCCTTGAGATGTGGATGATGGTAAGAGGACACTGTGAGGAAGCTGCTGGAGGCTTCATGCTCCTGGGGATGAGCTAGCTTCCAGCCTACTCTAGGCTCGCCTGCACTCTTAAGGAACAAAGAAACACAAACAGGGCGTCTATGATGAAGCTGCCACTGCTGCTTTTCCTCCTCCTCCTCCTCCTCCTCCTCCCCCTCCTCCTCCTCCTCCTCCTCCTCCTCCTCCTCCTCCTCCTCCTCCTCCTCCTCCTCCTCCTCCTCCTCCTCCTCCTCCTGCTATATTGTGTTAATTTATACAGGAAATTAACTGTAGCCTCTTCCTCTCACTCTTTTTCTTCCTTTTATTGAAAATAGATTGTTTTCCTCACATAATATAACCTGACTACAGTTTCCCTTCTTTCTATCCCTCTTTCCTCCTTCCCCTCCCATCTGGATCCACTCCCTTTCTGTCTCTTGTTATAAAATAAAAAGGTGTCTAGAGATTATAGTGTAATATATGCTAAATCAAAAACAAATACATCAGAATTGGACAATACAAACATAAGGAAAAGAGCCCAAGGAAAGGCTCATGAATCAGAGACCTATACATTCAAACACCAAGGAATCTGCTGCAGGAGGAAATAATGGCTGAGCAAGGCACTGATTTATATAACAAATGTCTTATTTGTGTTTGTGGGTTTTGTTTGTTTGTTTAGAACAGTAGTATTTGGTTTTGCCTTAGATCCCTGGGTCATGTCGTCTCAGGTTCTAGGTCACCTAAGCAGTGTCAGGTGTGGTTTCCAACTAGGGGAGTGGGCCTCAAGTCAAATCAGATATATGGTGGTTATTCCGACAAGCTTGGTGCCACCATACAGGCAGGACAGCATTGTAGGTAAAGGGTTTTTGTTTATGTTTCTCATTTGGTAGTGGGGAGCGTATCTTCCTGTACCAAAGGCCCTGGAATGTAGGGGTGAAGGTTCTATGTAGGCACCAGCTACACTTCTCCATATTCAAAGAGTTGAGTAGGAGCCTTGCTGTCAATCTGTGGAGAGCTGTCTATGGTCTTGGTAGCAGCCTGGGTAGTGTGCAGATCCCATGGGAACCCTTGGGCCAACAACTCAGTTAGATATAACCCAGTCCAGGTACTAGAAGCTTCATTTAGTGGCAAGAGATGTCCAGTTAGGGACCTGTCTCCCCCATTTGATGAACTTGCCTGACTCCATTTAGTGTAAGATCTGAGTTACTGTTTAAAGCCTGGAGCCTGACCTGCCCCAACCCATGACCTGGAATTGCTTTTGGGAACACCTAGACCCTCCCAGACCTTGCACATGAGGATTATATGTTGGGATTTTTTGAGAATTTTGAGAGTTTTCTGTACTTTCTCATTGTTTCATTGTCCCTCTTCTATAAACCTGCTTTGTAACTACCTGTGATATTACTTCTTAAAAGGGGCCCAAGAATCAGTATTTATCCCTGGTGTAAGATGGGACCCTGGGAGCCCATCCAACATGGAGGGATGCTCTCTCAGCCTGGACACATGGGGGAGGGCCTAGGCCCTGCCCAGGATGATATGACAGACTTTGGGGATCCCCCATGGAGGGCAGTACCCTCCCTGGGGAGCAGAGCAGAGAAGAGGTGGGGGGCTGGTGGGAGGTTAGAGGGAGGGGAGGGAGAGGGAGAAGGGATTGACATGTGAAGCAAGCTTGTTTCTAATTCGAACTAATAAAAAATATAAAAAAGGGGGACCCAAGAAATGGGCTGTTCTCTTTAACCTGATTTGGGAGGCAATCACCAGCCAGCTCTTGGGTACACACCAATAAAAAAGTCAAACTTGCTTCAAATTTAGCTCAAGATTGTGGTATGGGTCCTATTCTTGCCTGGTAGGATTAACACATTTCATTTAAATCACTTCGTACATGAACATTTTAGGAAGCTTCTACTGTATTAGATTTCCACACTACCCTCAAATGGTCTTAAATTTTAACCTTCTCTCTCAAGATTCCCTCCCTGGTCCCACTCTCTCCACCACACGTGCCCTTTCCATCCGACTCATCCATCCATAACTATCGTATTTTATTTCCTAACAATATCTATCTCTAGTCCACTCCTGTCCTTTACTCTAAACTTATCTTCTGCGTTTCTACAGTCATAGCTTGGTTATCGTTAACTTTAGAGCTAATATATACGAACAAGTTAATGTATACCATGTTTCTCTTTCTGTGTCTGGATTACCTCACTCAGGATGATTTTTCTTTTTTAGTTCCATCCATTTACCTGAGAATTTCACTCTTTTTAACTGCTTGCTAATACTCCATTGGGCAAATGCACAACATTTTCTTTATTCATTCTTCTGTTGAGGGATATCTAGGTGGTTTCCAGTTTTCTGGATATCGTGAACAGAGCAGCAACAAACATGGTTGAGCCAGTGTCACTGTGGTAGGGTGGAGCATCCTTTGGGTATATGCCCAAGAGTGATATAGCTGGATACTGAGACTAGATCTATCCCCATCTTCCTGAGGAACCACCAAACTGATTTCCATAGTGGCTATATAAGTTTGCGCTACCACAAGCAATGGATGAGTGTTCACCTAAATCTGCATCCTTTCCAGCATAAGCTGTCATTTATGTTTTTTATCTTAGCCATTCTGATCAGTGCAAGATGGAATATCAGGGTGGTTTTGATTTGCATTTCCATGATGACTAAGGATGCTGAGCATTTCCTTATGTGTCTTTTGGCCATTTGAGATTATTCTATTGAGAATTCTCTATTTAGATCTGTACCCCATTTTTTTAAATTGGATTATTTGGTAGTTTGATTTGTAGTTTCTAGAGCTTTGTACATTTTTGAGAAAAACCCTCTGTCAGATGTGGGTTGGTGAAGATCTTTTCCCATTCTGTAGGGTTTTGTCTTGTTGGCCATGTTCTTAGCTTTTCAGAAGCTTCTCAGTTTCAGGAGGTCCCATTTATTAATTGTTGCTCTCAGTGCCCGTGCTACTGGTGTTCAGTTTAGGAAGTGGTCTCCTGTGCCTATGCATTCAAATGTATTTCCCACTTTCTCTTCTATCAGGTTCAGTGTGGATGGATTTATATTGAGATCTTTGATCATTTGTACTTGAGTTTTGTGTATGGCAATAGATATGGATCTATTTGTATTCTTCTACATGTGGACAGTTATACCAGCAATATTTGTTGAATATGCTTTCTTTTTCCTTTTTATATTTTTAGTCTTCATCAAAAATTATGTGTTCATAGGTGTGTCAGTTGATATCTGGATCTTCCATTCAATTCCATTGGTCGACTTGTCTGTTTTTATGCCAAATCTAAGTTGTTTTCATTACTCTAGCTCTATAGTAGAGCTTAAAATCAGGGATGGTGATGTCCCCAGAGGATCCTTTATTGTACAGAATTGTTTTGGATATCCTAGGTTTTTTGTTTTTCCATATGAAGTTGAGTATTGTTCTTTCAAGTGCACTGAAGAATTGTGCCGTGATTTCGATGGGAATTACATTGAACCTCTAGATTACTTTTGGTAGGATTGCCATTTTTACTATGTTGATCCAATGTATCCAAGAGCATGGGCAACCTTTTCATTTTCTGATATCTTCTTTAATTTCTTTCTTTAAAGACTGAAAGTTCTTGTCATATAGGTCTTTTATTTTTTTGGTTGGTGTTTCCCCAAACTATCTCATGTTATTTGTGGCTATTGTAAAGGGTGATGTTTTTCTGATTTCCTTCTCAGCCCATTTGTCATCTGTATACAGGAGGGCTGCTGGTTTTTTGTTTTTAATTTAATTTTGTATCCTGCTACATTACTGAAGGTGTTTATCATTTGTAGGAGTTCTCTGGTAGAATTTTTGGGATCACTTATGCATACTATCATAGCATCAGCAAATAGTGACAGTGTGACTTTTTCTTCTCCAATTGTATTATTTGATCTCCTTTGGTTGTCTTATTGCTATAGCTAGAACTTTGAGTACTATGTGGAATAGTTATGGAGAGAGTGGACAACCTTGTCTTGTTACTGATTTCAGTAGGCGTGTTTTGAGTTTCTCTCCATTTATTTGATGTTGGCTGTTGGGTTACTGTATATTGCGTTTACTATGTTCAAGTATGTTCCTCGTACCCCTGATCTCTCCATGGCCATTATCATGAAGGGGTGTTGAATTTTGTTGAAGACTTATTCAGCATCTAATGAGATGATCATGCATTTTTTTTCTTTCAGTTT